CGCAAGGGGGGGGGGCTTTAAACCTGCCCTATTGCCACCCCCACCCCCCCCAAAACCCCCCTCTTTCCATCCTCGGCAGCGCTTCTCCGGGCTGCATTTTGGGGGGGGGGGCTTTGACGTGGTGAGAAACCCCCAGCGGAGCAGGAATTGCTGGGGAAAAAATACCTCTCCCCATCGCTCGTGGGGCTGGGGGACCTTCTGGAGCCACCCCCCAAAAAAAAAAAGATGAATGTGGGCAAAAAAAAAGATGAATGTGGGATGGAGGTCCCAGTCCCTCCCCGTGGGTGACGGGAGCCATTCCCGTGCAGGGCCTTTTCCGGAAAAGCTCCCGGAGCCAGCGATGATCCGTGATCCCGTTCGGTGCCGTCAGCAGCCACATGACGCCGGGCGGACCAGGAAACGCCAGCAGCTCCCTCCCTTCCACCCGCAGCATCCCCTCCCCACGCCAAGGGGGGAGGATTTTTGGGGGGGGAAACCTTGGGGACCACCCTGAGGTCATCCCTCATCTCCAAGGGGACGTGTGGCCGCGGGGCTGACGGCTTTTTGGCATCTCCCGGCTCCTTGCCCCGGAGGGTCGCCGGGAGGATGTGAAGCCCCCACCCGCCCCGAATCCCCTCCAACCTGGGGGGTGAGGAAAGCCCCCCCTTTCCTCCTGAGGGGTTTGAATTTCTTCTGGTGAGCATCCTGTGTGACAACGGCGGGGCTTGTCAGCTCTTCTCCGGCGTCTCTCCTCCGGTTGCACCTTCAGGGAGAGGGAGGTTGGATCTGGCCGGGGAGAGGCAGAAGCCATGCCAGCCACGGGGGGGGTGGCCATGGCCATCAAAAGCCGGGCTTAGAGGGCTCCAAAACACCAGGAGTGGTGGTCCCCTGCCAGGGGGCACCAGCCAGGCACCAGCACCATGTTCAGCCGGTCAGGATATCAAGCCCTTCCCTTGGGAGACTTTGACCGCTTCCAGCAGTCCAGCATCGGGCTCTACGCTGCCCAGAAGGGCTTCTTCTCCTTCGGATCCAAGGAAGATCCTCTAGGACCAGCTGGGAATACCACAGGTGAGTCCCCACCTTAGTGGGGGAGATGTTCTTCCTTTCTACTGCCACTTCTGCTGTAGGGTGTCGCGCTGGCTGGGTGCCCCCCATCCTTCCCGCTTCCCTGGGGTGCAGGGTGGATGGGGGGAGAGGCTGGGATGGGGGTTCACAGGTAGAGAGGGGGGCTTTGGAGCAGGTTCACCCCCCCATTTCATCCCCCTGCAGACTCCTCCCAGGGTTGGTTGTCCTGGATCTGCCATGGGATTATCACCTCCTTGGTCTTCTTGTTGATGGTTGTCACCTTCCCCATCTCGGGATGGTTTGCCTTGAAGGTAAGGGGGGAAAGCAGGTGAGGAGTGGGATGGCAACCCATCCTATGGTGGGGACCTGGGGGGAGACCATTCCCACCTGCCCCTGGTCCCATTGCTCCTGGCACCACAGGACCCAGGGTTTTGCTTCCACCCTGGTCTAAACTTTCCCCTTCCAGATCGTGCCCACCTACGAGCGAATGATCATCTTCCGCCTGGGTCGCATCCGGGCACCACAAGGACCTGGCATGGTCCTGCTGCTGCCCTTCATCGATCACTGGCAGCGCGTGGACCTGAGGACCAGGGCCTTCAACGTGCCCCCCTGCAAGGTGAGTTGCCTTGGGCCTCAGGGCAGGATGAAGAGACATCTCTGAAATACCCCAAGTAGGTGGATTTGGGTTGGGTCTGACCCTTGGTGCAGTGCATGGACCCAACTTTCAGTTCCTCCATCCTCATGGTGAGGTGAGGGGGGTCATGGCTGGTGCTGTGAACCCGGAGTCCTCACCTGCCTGCGGCTGAAAAGCTCCTCTTGACTTTGCACACCTTGTTCAATGCCACGTTCCCGGCTGGAGGCATCTCAGAACCATCAATCCCTGTCCCTCCCAGCTGCCTTTCGGTAACAGCCCTGTGCTGGAAACTGGCCTCGCCGTTCAGACTAGCCCAAAATTCATCATTTGGGCTGGATTTGTTGCTAATAACCCTCTTAATAAAGAAATCTAGATCTGTTTGCCAGCTGGGAAGAGATATGAATGCCTCTGCTCCCAGGCTCTATGCAGGAGGGTTGGGCCATGGAGCAGACAGGGGGAGATATCTTCACTCCTCTCTGCCCCAGCTGACCTCCAAGGACGGGGCGGTCATCTCCATGGGTGCTGATGTCCAATTCCGGGTGTGGGATCCCGTGTTGTCCGTCATGATGGTGAAGGACCTCATCGCGGCCACCCGGATGACGGCGCAGAACGCCATGACCAAGACCTTGGGGAAGAAGAGCCTCCGTGAGATCCAGGTGGAGAAGCTGAGGATCGGGGAGCAGATGCTGGTGAGGACTACCTCAGCCCTACACAGAGGCCCCCTTGCCCCCAGACCCTCATGCTCTTGGTGTAGAAATAACAGTCAGGGAAAGCTGGAGCTGCTGAAAGTCCATCTGGCCATGGACCTGGCCAAGGAGGGGAGCTGAGAAGACATGGTGATTAGTGGGGAGTAGATACCTTTCAGCCTGTGGGTGTCTGGAGCTCTGTGGCTTTCTTGAAGGGCTTTGGCCACACAGAAAAGCCCATGCATTGTCAGCAGACTTAAATTTGACCTCCATATCTCCACCAGGATAATGTCTAGAGGGGGCTCCAACCTGGAAAGGGTTTTGGGGTAGAGAAGCAGGACAGGGTGGTGGCAAAAGGGCAACGATTAGTGCCTACAGTCAACCTGGGCCAGGCCAAAGCTTGTGGGTTGAATGTCTACAAGGGGCGACTTGAAAGGATACTGGGGGGGTGATATACTGGTATCTCTGGGGTGGTTTGGAGGCCAGAAATGCTGTCTGGTGGAGCACCATGCCACGACATGGTTCCCAGGGGAGAGCAAGGAAAGGGGCCAGCCTGGAGGGCTGTGGAAAGGAGAACAAGGCAGAGCTGTCCTCCCTGTCCCGATCTCCTCCAAGCCAGGAGAGCAACTGGGGGAACTGGGTTGAGCATGAGAGTGGACAGTTTGGAGGACGTGGCTGCTCCAACCCCCCACATCTAAAGCTGCTGGGTAGAAGAAATATAAGCTATGGGATGCCCATGGATGGGAGGGCTGTGGTGGGTGATCTCCATGGCCGTACCCAGCTCTGTCTGGGATGCCACCACCTCTCTATTTTTTCCTGGCTCTGCAGCTGGAGATTAACGACATGACCAAGTCCTGGGGCCTGGAGGTGGACAGGGTGGAGCTGAGCATGGAAGCTGTGCTGCAGCCACCCCGGGAGAGCCCGGTGGGTCCTCTGGCCACCGTGCCACCCATGGCTGGGCTGGAGGGGCTGGATGGCACCATTCAACAGCTGGCTGCCCACTTCTTCAGCAACACCCTGGCTCTGGCGGGCAGCAAGACCGGCGCTCCAGAGGCAGGTAACCAACCCGGGGCCATCGCTTCTCAATGTCCCTCCTGCCCAATGACCTTTGTGTCCGTTGGCTTTTTGACAGAGGAGTCAAAGTCTGGGAGATATCACGCTCCCATGAGCACAGCACAAACAGAGCTGGTAGGGGAAAGGAGAGAGGACCATCAACCTTTCTAACGTGACATTGGAGGTGGGACCGGGGAGGGCAGGAGCAGATCTGAGGAACCTCGGGCTGAAGACCAGCTCAGACCTCAGCATTCCCATCAGACAAACATAGGGAAAGGCCTGAGCTGGCTGAGAGTCACCATCTGAGGGTATCTTTTTTTTCTGGAAACCTTGGACCAATTTGTGTCCCACTGTTTCTTTCAGCGATAATTTTCCACCCCCTGGAAGCAGGGCAAGAGTAACCCATGGCAGACAGAGGAGCAGGCAGTAGGAACTGGCAAAACCGTGTTGTCCTCTTTTTGCTTAACTGGAAACTCTCTGCATAAGCGGGTTTCTCTGCACCACAGACCTTCTCTGGTGGGCTCATGCAGACAAGCAAAGTTCACCGCTCAAAGGTGTCCCCTCACCACGCTTCTGTCCCTTTGTCCCCAGCAGACAGCGTGGAGATGGTGAATGAGGTGGACCCTCCCAACGCTCCCCTCCTCCCCACCGCTGGCAGCACCTGGAGAAAGCCCAGTGCAGATGAACTGTTTTCAGCAGTAGAGCCCGTCCTCTCCGAGGCCCTGGTCACCCAGGTGGGAGCATCCTACCAGGTCAACATCGTCTTGCCCAGCGGCGCCTGGAGCACCTACTTCATAGACCTCTCCTCAGGTCACTGCTCTTTGGGGTTGTTGTGTTGGAGGTGGGAGGGTGTTTCATGCCCGTGACCCCTTTGCGTGCTTCAAAACCCACCGAGCTTGGTGGTAGGTGGTCCCAAACCAACCCTGTTTGGTAGCTCCATGAAAGCATCCCCAGGGTCCATCAGCTGAGCACTGCAGTTTGGTGACCATGGCCTTGAGTCCACGCTCCCTGGAAGTCTGAAGTAGAATTTGTTTGGGGCCAAAACCATGAGTTTTCCTTCAGAAAGAGAGCGTTGGTAGAAAATTGGCAACCAGGCCTCCTCATGGTTGGCCAAGTGGGGTGGCTCAGGGACCTCAGAGTTTGTTGTCTCTTCTGTGCCACCAGCCCAAGGGGGTAATGATGGAGGGACATGCACGGGCAGCCCTTCGGGCCTTGCCACGCTGAAAGATGTCCTCCCACCACCCCATTCCATTCCCCTCCGGGTGCTGATGGTTTTCCTGGTGGCCACATGCGCTCATTTGGGCTGGGATAGAGTTAATTTTCTTCACAGTAGCTGGCACGGGACCATGTTTTGGATTTGTGCTGGGAACAGGGTTGACAACACAGGAACGTTTTCCTTATTGCTGAGTCAATTTTCTGCTCCTCACACCACGCACCAGTGAGTAGGTGAAGAAGTTGGGAGGGGGCACACAGCCAGGACAGCTGACCCCAATTGCTCAAGGAACATCCCGTGCCATATGACGTCTTAGAAAGGGGGAAGAATAAGGAAGGGGGAGATGTTTGGAGTGGTAGCCCCATACTAGTGGCTATGGAAGAAATTAACTCTATCCCAGCCAAAACCAGCGCATCGTGGCAAAAGTTCTTACAGGGCTTGGAGGTGGACCACCCTAACAGGACATCGGTGGAGCAACAGAAGAGAAATTTGTCTCCATAAGGAGTAGGGGCACTCCAGCCTCCAAATTCCCCCTGCCAGGCCCTTGTCTGTCATCTGGCCCAACTCAATCCTTACGGAACAGTGGGGGGAAACGCCAGCGGCCAAGGCTGGATCCTGAAGCCATATGTTTCTCCCTCTCCCACCCATCGTGTCCTACAGGCAGCGGACGGGCTGGCCGAGGTGTGCCCGAGGGCAGCCCCGACGTCGTTCTGGAGGTGGCGGAGAAAGACCTGCAGGACCTCTTCTTGGGCGACCTGCGCCCCTTGAGTGCCTACATGAGTGGGAAGCTGCAGGTGAAGGGTGACCTGCACCTCGCCCTGAAGCTTGAGGAGCTCGTCAAGGCGATGAAGCAGCAGAGATAGAGCATGCGTGTGGGGGGCCTGTCTGTGTGCATGTGTCTTTGTAGGTGTGCAAAGGACGGGGAGGGGGGGACACACAACTTATAGGGGTGCTGCGTGGTGGGGGCCTTGCACTGCTGGACCTCCTTCCCCATGGAGGCTGCAGGAGCTGGGTGAAGACCTGAGCAGGGAAACTGAGGCTGAGCTCCATTGCCTGTCCTTGTCTTTACCCACCTTGCCCATCCTTCCTCTACGATGTTATGGGATGGGAACCAGTTGCAGGAGCTGGGTGAAGACCTGAGCAGGGAAACTGAGGCTGAGCTCCATTGCCTGTCCTTGTCTTTACCCACCTTGCCCATCCTTCCCCTATGATGTTATGGGATGGGAACCAGTTGGCACCCCAGTACGTGCCAGTTTGCTTCTAGATTCCTTGGCCAAAGTACCACCAAGGGCAGAGAACGATGTCCTGCTGCCCTCACAAAATGTCCTGCATGGTCAGTCATCTCAGACTGAGTGGACAAGACTGAGAAGAGCTTGGGGACACTGTGGCTAAGGACAGTCATCATGGAGTGGGGTGGGGTGGGCAACCAGAGTGGGGCAGGAGGGCTGGCTGGACCAGGTTGGGATACCACCAGCGGGTTGGGCTTGGGGGGTCCAGCGTGGCACGATGCTGCCATTGATTGGGGAAGGGGCAGAGGTGGAGATTTGGGAGTGACCTTCCTGGAGCTACCTGAGCCTTCCCTGAAGAGTGGTTTGAGATAAGTCATTAATTTGTGCTTCAAAGTGCTTTTGCATGTGCGCTGTGAGGTCTGTCCTGGGGTGGGGGGCGATGTGGGCTGTATATAGGCGTATATATAGATATTTATTTATTTATTTTGTAAGCTTCCTTTCTATCTCCTCTCTGTGGACAATCTTGCAGCCTTGTTGCTGGGGCGGCGGTGGGTTGATGCCTCGGTGTCCCTAAGGGACCTCAGGGCCTGGGGGCTGCTGCCACCAGTCAAGGAGGCTGCCTGGTGTGACTCCTTGGTGACTGCCTTGGTGTGTGATGAACACACCAAGTCCTGCCAGGGTGAGGAAGAGCCATCAGGGATGAGGCACAGCTTCTCCCGGGGATGTTCAGCTCCCCCTACGGCACCCAGCACCCCAGGGGTTAAAATGCCTTGGAGCTCCAGGTGGCTTTACCAGCCCCCAGGATGTTTTGCTGGAACCAGTGGGACATCTTGCTGGCCTGGCCTTTTCCATGTATGGGACTGCTTGTTGGAAAGGGGGGAGGGAAAGTGGGGGACCGAGGAGAATGTTTCCAGAATTTCAATGTTTTATGGATCCCTTCAGGCCAAACCACCTGCTAAAGATCTTCTTCAAGGCCTGGGGCTGGGTGGCACCAGCCCTGAAGCTTTGGAGATCCTTCTGGGGCTGCCAGGCTGGATGAAACCCTCAGGTGTTCCTGGTGGTCCCTCTTTTTTTGTGGTGGTCCCCATGGTGCAGGTATCTTGGGGAGGGTACTGATGCCCTGCAGGAAGGGATAGAGGAGAATCAGGACACAACCAGCCCCACCAGGTGGGAGGGTGCCCTCTTTTTTGTGGTGGTCCCCCGTTTTTGTGATGGTCCCCATGGTGCAGGTGTCTTGGGGGGGTGTACTGATGCCCTGCAGGAAGGGATAGAGGAGAATCAGGACACAACCAGCCCCTCCAGGTAAGGGGGGGGGGTGTCCCTTTTTTTGTGGTGGTCCCCATGGTGCTGATGGCTGGGGGGGGAGGAACTGGTGCCCTGCAGGAAGGGATAAAGGACAATCAGGACACCACCAGCCCCACAAGATGGGGGGGGGTCCCTTTTTTTGTGATGGTCCCCATGGTGCAGGTGTCTTGGGGGGGTGTACTGATGCCCTGCAGGAAGGGATAGAGGAGAATCAGGACACAACCAGCCCCTCCAGGTAAGGGGGGGGGGTGTCCCTTTTTTTGTGGTGGTCCCCATGGTGCTGATGGCTGGGGGGGGAGGAACTGGGGCC